AAAGCCAACTAAAATTAAATGTCCTTTACATTTTTTTTTGTTTTGCTATGTTGTAATTTTATCAGAAGTTGGCTGCTTTTAAGGGTTCAAAATTATTTGAACCCTTAAAAGTGTGCCAACTATATGCTGAAACCAGCTTGGCTCAGTGGATAAGAGTGTCAGCCTGCAAACTGAAAGGTCCCAGGTTCGATTCCAGTCAAGGGCATGTACCTTGGTTGCAGGCACATCCCCAGTAGGGGGTGTGCAAGAGGCAGCTGATCGATGATTCTCATCGATGTTTCTAACTCTCTATCCCTCTCTATTCCTCTCTGTAAAAAAATCATTAAAAAATACATTTTTTTAAAAAGTGTGCCCACTATAAACCAATGTCAGATGCTATTAAACTCCGATAGTCTTAGAAACTTGCCTGCAGACAGTATTATATATTCAAAGAACATGAAACTGGGCAGCATATTCTTTGAAAAGAAGCCCTCTAAGAACGTTTCTATTTTGCCATAGGTCTAATTACTTCTTATTGCTTTGCATATGATTGTTTCAGATGCTGAGGTACCTTCCTGGGTGGGCCCTAGATGCATTTGAAGTTGTAACCCTCCTAAAGTGCTCAGATAACTGCTAGTCTACAGGAACTTGAGAAGGGAAAAGTATCTTTTAAAAGAACATTTTCTACCTCCTGCTTTCTGCCTGACTCAAACTATGCACAAACTGACAGTGTCAAGGTTCACTTCCTGCCGAGTGAATCTAGCTTGAAGTCACATGGAAAAAAAAAAACAACAGATTACCAAGCAGATAAAAACCACAGTCAAAAAGGCACAGGAACCTCAAAAGTCATGAAAAACATTCATCTCCCAAGTGAGGCCGGAAGGAGAACTTATTGAAGGGAGTTCCTAGCAATAGAAGTGGTATTGCAATTGCTTCCAAGTTGGAAACCTGAGCTGCAGGATGTCCTGGGGGAGCAGGAGCCTCGCAGAAGGCCCTGGGTGCCCCAGGAGCTCAGCGTATGCTAGCAGGAACAGTGAGACACAATCTGATGGAAGCACATCTGAAGAGGGCAAAAGGAAACATGTGGTAGGGTCTGGTATGAGTCAGGGGAGAGATCTGGAAATCCAACTGTTTTGTAGAGTAGCAATACAGAGAATAACGACAGCAGCTATACTGGGCTAACTTATGCCAGATACTTCTGTGGCCGTGTGCTGTATTTTTTCCACGAGATGCTTAAACTTGAACAAAATTCTGGTTACGTTTTGACCACTGTTTCATTTAAAAAAAAATTAATCTTTATTTGGGAGATATTCTCTAAGTCCGTAGGGGAAAGTCTCATGTGCTTCATTCATTAAATCGTTTGTGCTGTTCTTGAGTGACCCACCCAGCCAGGTTTCCCCAGCACCACGGTAGGAAAAACCCTGGCACTTAATGGTAAAACCCAGCCAGCTTTCTGTGTTAACCGGTGTCACCAAAAGTGCATAACTTTCCCCCTATCTAAAATGAATCCCACTCGATCATTTTTCTTGAAGGGTTTAAAACTCTGCTCCCCATTTTCCAGGTAGATTTGCAAAAAGGATAAGCTTTTACCACTCTGCAAAGTATATTTATGTGGTAACTGCTTATGTTAGAAATTTTAAAAACTAGTATCAATGTATATTCTACTCTGCTTACTGATATTACCATCTTTAAGACCAGTCCTAACTACTGATCTATCAGAGGGGTTGATTTTTCAGCAGGAACAGAAAACATGTCCCTGATAATGGTCAAATGTGCATTTAAAGAAAAGTATATATTGAAATCAGTAGAAGAACAGTCTTCCTACTTTTATTCCTAATAAAAGAATACCATATAGAAGATAATTTGAGTTCTGTCCTACAGTAAGGCAAAAGTAGGTTTACAGTTGAGATTTACAGTTGTTCATATGGAGAATAACAATAATTGATACGTAATACAAGAATAAACTATTGCATAGTCACAACTGTAAACCTATTTTTGCCCCACCCTGTATTGGCTCTTCCCACTTATGTCTGAGAACACTTAAAACATTACTAGAGGCCCGGTGCACAACATTCATGTGTAGGAGGTGGGGGGAGCGGGTCCCCTCAGCCCAGCCTTCACCCTCTCCAATCTAGGGCCCCTCTGGGATGCCCAACTGCTGCTTTAGGCCCGATCCCTAAACCGACAGCCGAACATTCCTCTCACAATCCTGGTCCACTGGCTCCTAACCGCCCACCTGCCTGCCTGCCTGTCTGCTTGCCCCTAATCACCTCTGCCTGCTGGCCTGATCGCCCTTCACACTCTCCTTCTGCCAGCCCGATCACCTCTAACTGCCTCTGCCTCCTGGCCCAATTGCCCCCCACTGTCAGCCTGTTTACCCACAACTGCCCCCCCTTAATCACCCCCCCCACCAGCCCAATCACCCCATGCAGCCTGTCCGGTCATTTCTTCAGTTGTTTCAGTTGAGACAGTTACTTAGGCTTTTATATAGATAGATTTGATGTTAACAAGTGGTTTTTCTCTTGACCTGTACTCATGACTGAGGCTATGGGAAAAGACCAAATCTGCTTAAATGGTGACTTAAAAAGAAATGCAAAGATGTGTCTGAGTCCTCCTTCAGGCACCAGCTGTTCCCTCGGCCCCCACCAGCCCCTGACTATTGAAGCTGAGAGCAAACTGATGGAAAAATATTAATGGAGGGAAACTGCCCTTGTCTATTTCAGATTAGGAGTCAAGCAATGAAATGCTGACTTTAGAAGTTTCCCCACCAATTTCTCCAATTCTACAGAAGTAAAGAATGAAAACTTTTCAAAGCCCAATGAGTAAAACTACTTACTCATCTATTTATATACTGCTCTCCAGCTTGCACTTATATAATTTATTCAACCTTTTTCTCAACTGAATTCCACTTCAGTTCATTTTTTAAAATAAATATGAACTAAGTGTCTATTATATATCAAGTAAGAAAAAAAGGAGGGGGGAGGGAAAGGGGAAGGAGAAGGAAGGAGAGGGAAAGAAGGGGAGAAGGATACACAGTAACAACTGTCTTGACTATCTCTTTCCTTGTGCATCAATTCCATAGGAATTTTAAACCTGGAAGCAAAAAATATTGAAGGGCTGTGATAGAATATCTATAAGAAGTCTGCAGAGCCCCAGGCTCAGGAATATAAAAACCAAGAATTATAATCAGATTGAATTATATTTATCACATATACACTATTTTAAAAAATCATATAAGCCCTAGCTAGTTTGGCTCAGTAAACAGAGCATCATCCTGTGGACTGGAGCATCCCAGGTTCAAGTCCGGTCAAGGGCATATGCTCAGGGTTGCAGGCTTGATCCTCAATAGGGGGTGTGCAAGAGGCAGCTGATCAATGACTATCTCTCATCATTGATATATCTATCTCTCTCTCTCCTCCCTTAATAAATAAAAAATATATTTTAAATTTTTCATATAAATTTTTCATATAAAATTTCTATATAAAATATGATTTAAAAAATACATAGTATCCATAGGTAATATTTAATAACTAGTTGAACATGGACTTCAACTAATAAAAATGGACTTTTGCCCTCAATAGCCAACATAGATAGACGGTTTCTGCCAGCTGAGTAGCACACCAGTCAATCCAGGTGAGGAGAGACAATTTTTTCTTATTTTCTTTTTTACTATTAAAAGAGAGAGAGCCAAAACTGGTTTGGCTCAGTGGATAGAGCATTGGCCTGCGGACTGAAAGATCCCAGGTTCAAGGGCATGTACCTTGGTTGCAGGCACATTCCCAGCAGGGTGTGTGTAGGAGGCAGCTGATCGATGTTTCTAACTCTCTATCTCTCTCTCTTCCTCTCTGTAAAAAAATCAATAAAATATATTTAGAGAGGAGAGAGAGAGAGTTATTCAAAGAAAGAGTTGGCTCAGATGTTAACAACATATCCTAGGGATTAAATCACAACCTGAGAGAAATCACAATACACTTAAAAGTTAGTCTTTTGTTGGTACTTTGTGTTTTATGGTCATTAACAGAATCATTCTCCCACTTTCCCATGAATTCCTAAAATTGACTAATTCTTACCAGATGTTCCAAAGGTTGTAAACCCTATCCCATGAGAAAGTCTGTCTTTATTTATATTCAATTTAAAATGAGAAACAGCTAGCCTCAGGCTTGTGGTTTCAATTTACTTAAACCATTTCATAATCTGCCAACAGGAAAATTTCCAAGTGCAGTGCAGCAGGATAGTGGGGATGGACTACAATCCATGCTAAACTAGTTTACCCTGGAGTATGCCTGCACCTGGAAGCAATGTGTTAGCAGATAGCCCCGTTGGTTGCTATCTCAGTTGGTTGGAAAATCATCCCCTACACTGAAAGGTTGCCGGTTGGTTGGAAAATCATCCCCTACACTGAAAGGTTGCCGGTTCAATTCCTGGTCAGGGCACCCCAGTCAGGGAGCTTACAAGAGACAACCTATCGATGTCACCACCCCACCTTTCTCTCTCTCTAAAAAAGAAAATAAATAAACATATCTTTGGGTGCAGACTAAAAAAAGTTCTTTCTATTGAATTTTTTTAGCGGACAACTTTTTACTTTAATTAGCCAAAGGAGTAATCGATATTCTTAGTTTAGTCAAATAAATTATTCACATTAATATACTTAGTATATCATATTACTTCAACGAATCACGTAAGTCAATTTCTCAGAACCAACCAACAATGATAAAATAGCATAATTACTCAAAGTTTTTTATATAATGTCCATATCTTTCCTGGAGATTCAGTACAAAGCCAAATGATTAAAACTACATTCACATTTAAATATAGATGGATTGTACGTATTCAAATACAGATCAAGTTTTTTAACCTACTAAAATCATAATTTTAAATAAACTGGCAAAATTACACTGCCTAATTTCTCTTGGGAAAAGTGGCATCGATTCTGGTTATCTTCTTTATCTTAAATGAAAATTCTGAAGGTCTACTGATATTAAATAATTGAAACTATGAATGCATTTTCCAACAAAACTAACCTTAAAAAAGGCAAACCACTTGTAGTCATTCAACACAATCTCAAAGCCTTGATTGTAAATGATGGTGAAATGGCCAGAATTGCCAAAGTCATCATAGGCTGTATCCAGCTTCTTAAGGTGCACCACGACTTTCTTCTCTGGTGGTCCTAAAGGAAAGAAAATGCACAGGAATGGAAAATTATCTGTACTTCCATGGCAGGAAAAATCTCCCATCACTCCCACAATTTTTAAACTGCTTTCCTTTCAAAACAGGCCGCCCGATTTGAGCCCATCTGGCTTGTGAAGTCACCAAGACTCCCCACCTTGTTTGCCTCCCTCTGTATGGTTCCAGAGGGGGTTTCAGTCACGTCTGTGGAGTGAGGGCTCAAAAGATAGAAACAGGCTGGCAGGCAGAAAGACCCCCTTAAAGTACAGCCTTGAACTTGCCAGAGCACCCAGAGATGGAAGAAAGCCTTCTGCTGAAGAGAAGGAAAAATGGGGGGTGTTGAAAATGACAGGTGGAAATGAAGGGAAGACAAAACAGTACTGTCGTCAAAAACTGAAAACATAAACATATACAAAAGACCTGCCACCAAGTCAAAAGAAGGACAAAGGAAATGATCTCTTCAACGAAGAAATGCGGCTTCTTTCTCCACCAGGAGAACTTCAGAATCTGCATCCTTCCAAAGGATGCGGCAGACTCGAGGGTTCTATCCCGTGAAGCTCATGTGTGCTAATAGGAAACAAACTTTTAAACTTCAGAAGATGGGGGCTCAGACACATGGGTGCCTTCAATTATTCTAGTAAAGTAGAAGGCACAGTGTATAGACAGAGGCTTGCCTGGACGGGGCTCTGTGGTACCCCCCACAGGTTTTCACACTTTAAACAGTTTTTCCGTGGTTGGTTTTAATGCTCTGACATGGGAGATGGCATGTGCCCAAAGGTGCAGATCCTCACCTCTCTTCTGCTTCAACTCTACAACAGCAACTTTTTAAAAGAGCAGATGGTTAAAATGCCCAGGATTAGGCAATGCCACAGCCACCGGAAGTTGAACAGTTGGATCTGTTTTAGTGGCAAACCACCTGGCGCTCCTTGTCCTGCTGACAAGGAAAGTGCAGCTGGCAGCTTCACTCATCACAGGCTGGTAAGGGCTCGGGCAGAACCAACATGCCACTGCTGACCAAGACAGTGTTTTCCCCCTTCACTAAATTCCTCGCCATTGGTGTAAGCACGTCATCGGAGGGCACATGGACTATCCCAGTGTGTTCACATCCTACACATTTACTGAGTGCCTTCTCTGTGCCAGGAATTGCACTTGGCTCCAGGCATTTCCAAGTGTAATTAATTGCTAAAGAGTTATTAAAATAACAAAACAAATGTATATTCACCCCTACGATACGTAAGACAGTGCAGAAGTTTACTCAGACTAGTAGCATCAACACATATCTAAGTAAAAAATCATTGGATATAAAGGCTCTTTCCCACAAGCTAACAAAAGGAGAAAACTTTTCTTGCTATATAGTATTATTGAGTGTTTGAGCACGCGCGCGCGCGCACACACACACACACACACACACACACAATCCTACAGGTTGGATGGGAGATAATAAGATTGCAAGGTCTGAACTCTTCCAAACCAAACAAACAGAAAAACAAACAAACAAAAACCAGAAAAGGGCAATTAAGGAGAGTAAAAAGAAAGTGTCTTAGAAAGTATATTAGCCCTGGGAATAACCAAGAAAAGGTGAAGTTAGAAGTTCTCATCAGCTCAACATGGCCTTGGCGACCCTGGCAGGAACAGGCATCCCACGGGCCTGGTCCCGGCAGGTGTGCCCCTCGGCGGGGCGCTGTGCGGAGAGGGGCGCAGGGGCAGGAGTCCGGCGCGCTGTCCCTTACCCATCGCCGAGGAGCAGTTGACCTGGCTCTGGGCGCCCGCGGGGCCCACCTGGAAGACCCAGGTGCCCAGCAGGTCGGGGTAGGTGCAGTTGGCAGGGGTGTCGCCGTGCGCGGTGCCCAGTCCGCAGAGCAGCAGCAGGAGGGCGGCGAGCGCGGAGGGGGGCCAGGGACCCATGCTGCAGGCGGCCGCGTGGACAGGGAGCAGGAGGGAAGCGGGGAGCAATCAGGCGACCCGACCGCCCGCCTTAAAATAACCGGAGGGCGGAACCTCCGCGGGCGGGCGGGGCGGGGTCTGGGTCTCAGGAGGAGAGGCGGGGGAGGGGCGGCTGGCACCTGGACCGGAGCTGGGAGCCAGCGCACCGCTCATGTGCACCATGAGCTCTCGGGGTGAGCCGGGGCAAGGCTGGGGCAAGGTTAACTGCCAAGGAGAGGACTCAAAATAGGAGTTAGGAGCCACAGTGGGTCCGCACGCGACCCAGACTTCCTCCTTGAGAAGCAGGACACACCAGAGAGAGGGAGGGGTGGGAGAGAGGGAGGGAGGGAGGGAGGGAGGGAGGGAGAGAGAGAGAGAGAGAGAGAGAGAGAGAGAGAGAGAGAGAGAGAGAGAGAGAGAGAGAGAGGGGCCAGGGGTGGAGAGGAGGGAAGGGAGATGGGGAGATGAAGAGAGACAGGGAGAGAGAAAGACAGAGGCACAAGAAAAACGGGTGGCAGGGACAAAGGTCAGCCAGAGACAGGTGAGAAAGTCCCAGAGGAGGAAGATCTAATAAGTGGAGTGTTATTTGTTTTCTTCATTTTGTCCTCCCAACTCAAGGTTGTGGGTTTTGTTGCGGGGTTTTTGTTTTGTTGTTTTTTTTTTTTTCTCTCTCAGAATATTTCACTTGCTACCCCCAGCTGCCTCAGCTGTTTGAGAACTGCTCTTCCTTCCGTTTACCAAAACTTTCGCTACCTTCTTTTGGCTCGGTTTTGTTTGGCTTCCTGCTCATGTTATTTGCTTATGGCCCATAAGAGGATTCGGTTGTAGTGCAAGCTTGCAGATTTTGTGTCCTGGCTGTCTTTGTTTTCCCTGCCAACTTGATGGGATTTAGTGCACACTGGGGTGTGCACACACACGCACAAAAGCTCAGAGGCTATATTGCTCAACCCCTTCTCCTTTTATTGCTGAGAAGCATGAGGCCCAGACAGAGGAAGTAACTTGTCCAGGGTGAGGAAGGCAGCTGATAGAAGGCTGGTCTTATGAGCAGCATCCCAATGAGCCTGTCTGATGGCCCATAATTATTAGAGAGCACCTGTCGGGGTTCAGAAAGATCCACCCCGATATAAGCCTCAGTGAGCTAAAGGCAACTTTAGCTGTGGGCTCAAAAGAAACATCTGCCCCTCCATTAATTACCTAAAGCCTTGAATTGGGGGCTTTGCCTATAAAGAGAAATCAGCCATAACCTCTTTTGCCCTATCTAGAGGGAAGAGTAAACTTTTAATTATTAAACATCTATTCTTATCTGCTTGTGATGACCCTTTGAAGCTCTGTAGTCACCTTACCTCCTCCCTAGCTCAGAATGTCATACCATCATACATACCCCTTTTACCTTTCTGTCTTTGAACCTTTCATGCATGTGGGATCTCTGACTCTCTTGTGTTATGGGATATATATATATATATATATATATATATATATATATATATAATTTACACATATATAAATTATTTTCTTTTGTTATTCTATCCAATGTCTATTTATTGAGAATCTTTGAAATAGGAATTTTTAGGGGTGAAATAGGCAGGTTTGGGGAATTTTTAGAATTGGGGGTCCATGGGAAAAAAAAAACCCACAGAGTTGCAAAAGGGTACATTTCCATAAGACAAGGGAGTTGGAAGAGGCAGCAGTTATATTTCCATAAGATACGGAACTGGGAGTGGCAAAAGATAGATATTTACAAAATAAAGGGAAGGCAGCCCCTCTTTCAAAGAGGGAGGAAGAAGAGAGGGAATGGGAGAACAGTGAGGGAGCAGGGCCTCACCTGTCCCAAGTGAGGTTTGACCTTTGAGCTCAGGAATTGCTATAGTGACCAAACCAAAGGGGAATAGTGGCCAATCAGAGGGGATATTGAGGCACAAAAAAAAAAAAACCTGAAGAATTTATAAAGAGGCTGGGGGGAGGGGGGAGATAGGAGTAAGGAACTCAGTGAGACTCTCCCTCTCTTCACGTGAGAGTCTGTGCTGTGAGATTCTTTCCCCTGCCCCACGTGGGAGTCTGTACTTGTTCTTCAATAAATTTCCATCTCTACTATACCATCTTTCATCCCTAGTTTCATTCTTTGACTCCAAGGCAGTGTTTCCCAAACTTTTGACATATGTGTACCCCTTCTATAATTTTCGTAACGCTGAGTACCCCTCGTACTCATGAGAACGTAGAATTAGGCGCAGCTAAGCACGGTGCAGTGCATACCCCCACCAAACTCTTCCCATACCCCTGGGGGTATGCGTACCACACTTTGAGAAACACTGCTCCAAGGGATCAAGAATCTGGGAAGCCATCCTGCCCAGGGGAACACCACATGTTCCTTCCAAAATTCCCGTATCACCTTGAGGGGAAGAAACTGTCTTCTTCCCCTACACGTTATTTCCAGGTGCCTCCTTGCTCCGTTTATTTCCTGTTTATTGTTTTTCCTCGCTCCATTTAAATATCATCTTTTTCTGTAATTCCTCTGACTTTATTGGCTTTTGTTGAAAGTTGGGGCTTTTTCCTGCAAAGAGCTTATCAGGTGTCAGGCCCTGAGCCAGCATTAAGAAGTGATGAGCCAGACAGACTTTCCTGTGTCCCTGATTTCTAGGGCTCATGCATCTTGCCCTCATTACACTGCTTAAAATGAGTATTTGCATGTCCACCTTTCCCACCAGGTGACAAGCATTCAAAGAGAGCAAGTTTACATTATTCACCACTGCCTCCTGAGATTCTGGCTTGAAAGCACTCAGGAAGCATCCTGGGGTGTTAAGTGCACTCAACATTATCTTGTTTTTTAGGCCTGAAAGCCAAATTCCATTTGGCAAGAAGAATTGCTCTTGAAAGCTCAGAAATGAACATGCTTTCTAATGTAGGCACAAGGCAAGGGGAGAGAGACACAACACCCTACTTTTAAGTTTTATTGCTTTTTACTTAGGGTAAAAAGTTGGCATCATAAAATTAATATACAGTACTTACAGTTTAGAGATACACTGACAGTGTAGCATTGCCTTCCTGAGTCCCTGAGAAAGTGTGTCATTGGTTGTTCAAACATTAAAACTTTTACTAAATCATCAATATTGAAGAGCTGGCCCTAACTGGTTTGGCTCAGTGGATAGAGTGTGAGCCTGCGGACTGAAAGGTCCTGGGTTCAATTCCAGACAAGGGCACATGCCCAGGTTGCAGGCTCTGTCCTCACCATGCAGGAGGCAGCCAATCAATGATTCCCTCCATCACTGCATCACTGATGTTTCTGTTTCTCTCTTCCTCTTGAAATCAATAAGAATACATTTGAAATTATATATATATATATATATATATGAGCTGGATAGTGAAGTTGGAAATTTATGAGTAAACCAAATTAGCATAATTAACTTTGAGGGAAGTTTAAAATAGTCTTTATTCGGTGAATGGTAAGTAAAAAAGTGATGTCGAAGACCTATTAGTCTAATGGATTCATTTAACATCAGAAAATAGAGATTAAGCCCTGACTGGTTTAGCTCAGTAGATAGAGTATCAGCCTGCGGACTGAAGGGTCCCAGGTTCTATTCCAGGCAAGGGCATGTACCTTGGTTGTGGGCACATCCCCAGTAGCGGGTGTGCAGGAGGCAGCTGATCAATGTTTCTCTTTCATCAGTGTTTCTAACTCTCTATCCTTCTCCCTTCTTCTCTGTAATAAATCAATAAAACATATTTTTTTAAAAGAAAAGAAAATAGAGATTGAGATGTTACCAGCAAGAGACCACCATGAGATCTCAGTTCTTGACTTCTTGATGGAAAGATTTCAGGCAAGAGACAAAGAACAGCATAGCAAGCAAGAATGTATCGGCCCCAGCAAAAACACTCAGGGAAGGGAAACAAAGAAGGGATTAGCATAGTAGAAGCAACAGGAGGGCCTAGACTAATCTGCTTTGGCTCCTGGGAGATCAGAGAAAAGGCTGCATTGGAGACAGGTTCAGGGGGTCAGCCTGGAATGAGCTGCCACTGCCACTGCTCCCTGGTTGTAAGTCCCATGAGGTCCCTTAGAGTGTAGGGGATGCATGCCTGTGGGGAAAGGAAACGGGAGAGAATGATGGGCATGCTCCCCAGGGGGAGAGCATACCACTGGGTCCTCCATCCTAAGGGTTTTTATTTCTCTCTTGCAGGTGGGGAATCACAGGGGAGGTCTCTGGGAAGGGTTTCAATAGACTATTCACCAGCTTTTCAGGTGTGCTCTCTCAGGTTAGTGGTCTCCGAAGGTCAGGGGGTCATTCTTTAATGCAGCCATGTCATTACTTGTCCGGTTTTGCTGCTTTTCTGGTGCAAAATCAGACAAGTGAGGCAGCTGTAGTGTCACTTGTCTGGCATAGGCTGCTAAAAGACAACTGAGTCCTAGATGTTATCATTAGGGAGGAAAAGTCAGGATCTAAACTGCATGACCAGTGATATAAAAGGTCAGATTGTCCAAACTACATGACCAGCTAAACCCTAAGGGCCAAGTCCAGTTTTGCCCTTTGCTAAGCACCAGGGGCTCTCCATCCTGGTGACCTTCTGTAACTGGACCCACTGTCCAGTATAACTGGACAACCAATAGTTCTGGGCTGCCTGTTGCTACTTGAGCCCATGAAGCAGACAGGATTGAATGTTTATTCCAATAATGGCTGCAGCATGGGAGAGCATCAGGTCATCAGCAAAATTCCTTTCTGCTCCTCCCCATAAGCCAGCAGGTTATATTGGGTAGAAGGATAAAGAACATGTGGGAAACTAAGAATTATAGTCATGAGAACAGAAGCAAGGTATAACGGTCACAGGTTCAGGCGATGTGGGCAGGGGGTCACAGAGGGCAGGTGCCTCTAGTCATCTTCCCGACCAGATTACAGGCATTAGGGGCTGGGGCTGCAAAGGGTGGAAGCCTCAGGACTAGACTGTTTCAGTCACAAAGTTGTAAATCTTTCCATAATGGAAGGCAGTTCTCGGAG